CAAATCACCTACTCTAAGATTCTCATTACACATTATTTGTATATATTATATTAGTAGAGGTTACATACATTTTGGTCTTGTATTTTGGGCCACATAAATTAGGAATTTTAAGCCTTAGGCTTATTAGGCTTATCTTGGATATTTTGTTACCCAATATTGGACTCATTTGGCTTCTTTTATTATTTCCTAGTGTTTAGGATAGTTTGGCCATTGTATTTAGGCCATCATATTAGGATTTGAGAGTAAAAGATTAATTAGGCAAAATTAGCAAATTTAAGTTACATTTAAGAGTAATTTGAGATGCATTTGGTGCACATGTGCTAACCTAAGGTTGGAAGCACATAATCAGCCCCAAATACATCTAAATTAACCCAAAATGCCACTTAAATGAAATTGTGCTGCACATAAAATGAAAATTGGCTGCCAAAGAATTTGAATTTCAAATTCTTAGCACCAATTAAGGCCATATGGAAGGTGGTGCCAATTTCACTCTAAATTTGCCTATAAATAGAACTCTCTTCACTCTATTGTAGTCACTTTGAGTATTTTATACAGAGCATTTTGTATTTTGCATAATTCTTTCCCACTTGAAGTCATATTCTCACGCCTAGTTCTAGGGTTCTTCACCTAGTTTCTAGGAATTACACCATTTGTGAGCAATCCTTTGCTCCTTTGGCTTAGGTGCTTCCAAGTTTGGATTCTCCAGTAACTTCACTTCATCTTCTCCTTTTTGTTGAGATTCATGGATGGTGAATCAAGTTCTGAGAGTTTTGATGATAACAAGAAATATGAACCAAAGAGAAGACATGAAGACCATGAATGAATACCAAATGTAATAGAAGTAGTTTATGTGTTGAGTTGCTTTGTTGGTCAATTTTATTTTCTATGCATGTTTGTGCTTTGTGCATGAGTTGAATCTTAATTCTAGAGTGAAGATTTTCGGACTTAGGGTTCCTAGACTATGGATGGAAGCATCCAAGCTTAAGGAACAAAGGAGAGCTCACTTCAAAAGGTAGGAAACCTAGCTAGGGTTCCTAAAAAGTGATGGCTCTCTCTTGGTGACTTTTGGAAGAAACTTGGCAGAATATTTGCTCTCAAATTTCATATATCAAAAGTGA